TAAATCGAAGAAACGAATTAATAGAAGTTTCTTTGATTTGTGTATAAATTTCAGAGTAGGTATGTGTATTTTGTTCTCAAAAACTACTTTATTTATTCCATTATGTTAATAATATCAGTTAAATCTCTTTGAATTCATGTTCAATTTACATGACAAAGTTAGTATATAAAACGGTATATATATAGAATTAGAGATGTTAAAAGTTCAGTTCGGTTTAACTCGACTCCAAAAGTCGAGTTATTATTAAAGTTCAGTTTCAAGTCAGACTTGGAACTCGACTCACATTTCACATACAACTTGTATATTTAAATATAGTGCTAAAAAGAATGTATATGCATGCAAAGTATACATAAATACATATTTTTTTCAGCTATATTTAAATATACAAGTTACATGTGAAATGCGAGTCGAGTTCCAAGTCTGACTTGGAACTAAACTTTAATAATGACTTGACTTTTGGAGTCGAGTCAAACTGAACTGAACTTTTAATATCCCTATGTAGAATAAATTGATGAAAACTTACAAGCAAAAATAAGAAGACAAAATATTGTTTTATTGTTTATTGAATAAACTCTAAAGAGTTTAATAAGATCTACATATATTACAGTTTAACTACTTTTTTTTTTATATTATAGTCGTTCGAATTTAGAAATAGATATATATTTTATGATTTTTTAAGTATAATAGACTGTAGTTAGTAAATTAGTCAATATATGCTCAAGCTAATAAAGATATTTTTACTTATTCTACGATATTTGGGATTGATTTGAGCTTTGGATATAAAATTTTAATTTATTTTTTTTTTTTTGTAATTTTGATTTTTGATTGATTGGCTAATTGACATATAAAATTTGTGTAACTATTTTATTATTGGCTAAAATGATATGCAAGATCAGAATACTTATTTTCGATCAATTTTTGTGATATGCATATTAGATTAACTTTTTTGACACAAATTCGTGTTTCACAATTATAATTGAGCTTTTTTATAGTGTTATAATGCAACTAGTCTAGTTCTGCAATTGGGACGTTATTTACTATACCAGTAAGTTATATATATGTACTACATATTAGAAATTATGTCTAACAAGAAGTACTAACTAATCTATTTCGATTACTTCAAAAATGCTAGTATGTTTGCTATTACCTACTGCCACATCACTATTATCATTATTACTTACTTCTATTATTTCAAATATATCTTTTTCAATTTCCATTTCTGATACTTCAGTATCTGTAGTATCTGTAGTGATTTCTATTACTTCCAATATATCTTTTTCACTGTTAGTTTCTATCGTATTTTGAAAATCATTTTCTAGAATGTTATCTTTACTTAACATTAGCTTTTCAATATTTTCATTAGAAATAATAGACTGAAGATGATCTGACATTTTATAATTTTTAAAACTATTCGGGTTTAATATAAGACCTGTTATATAGTCAATATAAATAATTTTATTAAAAACACATAAGGTATCTTTTTAAGGAAAAAAAAAAAAAAACAAGACCTGTTGCTTCAAATGATTTTATCAAAATATTAGAATTGAGTTCTTCTCACGATTCTGATACCCATTTACTAATTAATTCATATGATACTCTTTTACGATTGCCTTTTTTCGTATATTCTTTTTTCCCATAAGCCATCCAACTATCCTATTTTTTCTAATTGCATCTTTAAATAGTTTGTTGACTGAGACATCTGGAGGTTGCAATACACTAGTTGTTCCACTTAGTATTTGTAAGACTTCTAATCCTTCAGCATTTAGTGCTTTAATAACATCATCTCAGATATGACTGCAGTGTTGATCTACAAATATTACTCTATTATGTTTAAGAAACCCATCTGGTCTGGATCATATAACCTAAAAATAGAAGTGACTCAAATTAGTCATATGAAGTTTTACTAATATAGAAAGAGCAAGTTTAAATTTACTAAAACAAGAAATTTTATATGTATTATGTAGTATATATATATTAATATATTAATGCTGTATTATCACAAAATAATGCCCTGAGCATTATAAAAACAGAAAAAAATAGCGATATAAACTATAATTTAATTTATTATCACTAGCTCAATTAATAAAATTATAGTTTATATCATTGCCTCGAGGTGTTATTTATGATAATACAGATATATTGCTTGTATCAGATTAAAGCTATTAGTGTTAGGCTAGCATTACCTGAAAAATATATGCAGAAAGCATTAGATCATCTCGCATATTAGCACAGAGTGCTATAATTAATGCAATATCTTTTGGAAGTTGCCTTTTGGTTTATTTTTTAATTTAAACATTATAGCTGGTGGAAGTTTTTTTCTAGAAGCTATAAATGTTAAAACAACAATGAACTGTAATTTATCATTTCTAGTTGTTTTTATTTGTACTTCACGTACACCTCAAAAATCAATTGTTGATCTTCATGATATATCGAACTATATAGGAGTTTCATCAAAAGAAATAATATATTCTTTATTAATATTTTTAGTTTTTTCTTGTGAATTTTTAAAAAAATTTTTAATAATTAGTAGAGCATCTTCTGGAAATTTTTGCACTAATTGTATTCAAGCTCATTGTACTAGATTATTCCGATCTTTAAATTATTTAGCCCAACTACGTGATGCCTTAAAGTCTTCTAAACCTAATATTTTTCTAAGCTCTAATACCTTATCTCGAATCATTAATGTTGTTATACAATTTTTTTCTTCACGCATCTTCTTAACAAATTCTAATAATTCATAT